ATATATATATATATATATATATATATATATATATATATATATATATATACTGATACAATTAAATGCGTATTTTATGGAGAAGTACTTGCCTCAATCAACATAATAATTTGCTCAACAATCTTATAACCATCTCATATAAAATTACGATGTCCTTAACTGGTTTCGTAATTGATACGTCATGTTCTGTATCACGCAATTCTAGTAAAAAGTTTGCGTTACGATTACTATATTAAGTTATAAAGCAATCTTGCAATAATAATTTTCTTTAATCTTATATATACGTACATTTAGCCCCTACTTTCTATATTTTCTTATTATTATATAAGCTGTAACCTAAAAATAAATCCAGTTATATTAATTATATTCTTTATTATTAAATAGATGTGCAAAATAAGATCTCGAAATTGCACGATCCACGATGTATATAATTATTCAAATACCTCGTTGATCTTGATAAGTTGTTTCCAATATCTCGCGGATGTTTTATGATTTGTTACGTGACACTGCAAAATCACTGTGAAATCACTGTCACCGTTTAACGTACGGTACGTATGGATATTCTCGAGTGATCAGTTCGACTAAAGAGGAATGGAACAACGCCTTCATCTAACGGTGCCGCCGACCATACCTTTAGACCAGCCATACCTTCAATCTTTCTGCTTATTAGCATTTTCAAGAATTTAAACGTCTCTGCGCCTCTGCGCAAGATTCCCATTCGCGCTGATATAGATCCTTGTAACTTAACGTCATGATCATCTCACTACGAACTGCGACAATCCATAATAGCCGGATAATGGTCGTACCGTCGTCTAGTGGGATAATTAGGCGATCATGATCGATTATTGGTGAACTAGAACGACCGCGGCTTCATACGTTAAGAGAAAAACCTTTTATAAACTTTATAAAGTTTATTTCTGTGAAATGAAATTTATTTTAGTAAAATAACTTTTATATCTACAATAAATTTTCAATTTTTTTTCCTTAGTAGCTATTGATAGTAGATTTTTTGTAGCTATAGATTGTATCGATATATCTTCAAGGACACACGCACTTTTGCCGTATTCGACATAATTCCTCGTTCAATTTGAAGGCGATCTCTTTCGCGGCGAAAACGCTCGAACGTTGCTGGTTCCTACGTTAAGTACGAACGTTAAGTACAAACGGTCGAATGTGAAGCAATTTCCGTAAACCGAGCCATGAAGCTACCGCTGCAAGTTTCGACACTACTGCACTCGGACGGATCTTATTCCAGCCGAATTTGAAAAATCGAGGCAACGATTAGCTGTCGAAAACACATCAACGTTAAATTATGCGGCAATACGATAAAAAGACGACGTTCATCAAAAATAGATTTTCGAAAAACGGTACGAGCTAGAAAACAAACGAGACCTGATGTATGAAAATAAAGATGTTTCTGAAATTTCTATGCCGAAGTGCTTATTCGCACCTCGTTACATCTTAAATATGATTTCTCCGCGCGTGTGCGTCAATACCTAGCTCGTTTATTCCGCGCAAACAGAAAACGATTCGTCATCGAACATTTCAATCCCATCGTCTTTTTTCTTCCTCTTTTAATAAACACGGAAAAAAAGATTTGATTGTGTCAATATATGAAATTTAGTCGTAATTAAGGTTGCATGTAATTAATTACTTTTTTAATTTATTATATCGAGTTTAATTGTCGATTAATATAATTCAATTTAATTGGAGACCATTTAATTGACAACTGATTTCAACAAATTTAATTTAAAACTGTTCAAGTGTCGGTTGATGTGAACAAAGGGAAATAAATTTGGGTTAACTAACAATTGAACTTGGCAAATTTAGTTGAAAACAGAAAACCGTTTAATTAACGATTGATATAAGCAAATTCGATCAATTCAATTGATGAGCGTTCGACTACTCAAGATTACAATTGATTTTATGAATAATATTCATATCGAGAAGGTTTAAGTAAGTCTCTTGTTGAGTAAGGAGGGAGGAGAAGGGGCGAGTATTAATTATCAATCGTTACCGAACAATCAATCGTTACCGATATAATTAATCGTTACCGAACAATCTTTGATTAATTCAATTGAATTTACTTACATCTATCATAAATAAAACGGTTATAAACGTGTAGAGAATGTTATACAAAAAAATAAATAAAATTATAAATTTAAAGGAATAATTTTCAAGACAGTGTTTATTAGAGGAGAATCGGTAACGCATAGATAAAAAAAATAAAAGAAAGAGAGAGAAATCACGCACACAAAAGCAACCTTTTCTCTATAACGCATTTAACGTTCATTAAATGATCGTAGAAAATTTTTTTTATATTTTAATTTACGGATTACACAACTTTCCAAGAAAATCCTGATGCAATTACAAATAAGTTACGTCATTACTTTTATCTTTACGCCTCAAACATGTTTATCTTATCATAAGTTCCTCGCTTATTCCACTTAAGTTTATTTTGACGCGACGTCAAACATTTGAATAAATGTATATTTCTATCAAAAAAAGGGAATAGAAACTACGGAAAAAACATAGTTCTGTAAATTTTATCGTTAATAGATTCGTTATTTACCAAAGTCTTTATATATTTCCAGGAAACTTTTTACATTTCCTTTTTATGCAATAATCAATAATTCGCATAACTTAGCTGTATTAGCAACTACATACATTCATGTGGCCACGCGATAATCACTATTCTTCGAATGGTCTTTCCTGATTTTAGTTATTCAAATGGATTTTCCTAGAATAGAATTCTTCTACTAATGGAGAGCCGCTAAATATACAACTTATTTATCTCATTTATTACTTATTTTACTTAATAAGGCTTAACACATATGCTATTAAAACGCTTTTTTTCAAAACTGAAAGCGGCATAATATTTATGGTACAAAATATCCGTCGTTAATTCGAAAAAACGCGTTAGTTGATTATTTCTGCATCAAAAAGCGCAAATTGATTTGAATGAAAAATTGTTAGGCAAGATTGCTCAAGTTCAACGATATGTAAGCCATTGAACATAAAAATACGTTTTATCAGCGAGACAATATTCAAATATTTTAATTCACACAATTTTGCGACTAATTTCGCAATCATTGTCATTATTATTGACGTAACTACCTTTGGATTTCTTAATGCCGCACTAAGAAAAAAACAGCTGAATCGACAAGATCGGCGGTCATCTACCTTTAAAGAAATATTGTATCTTTTAAACGAACTGCGCTTTAGCACAACAATAAGTTATATTAGTATAGTTACTAATCAAGTCATTCAATTGATAACTCTCAGCATTAATGTCACAGCAAATAAATGATTTGTTCAATTTACTAAAAGTTTGATTCAATAATTTTTGCTCGTTCAAACAAAATGTCATTATTACTTTTTTCTCAGTGTGGCGATATTTTATCGTCTCGTATTAACACTCTTTTTTACATACTTTTTTACGGTCATCCTCCCAAATTCCGTCTCTGTTCTCCTTGTCTTCGATCTGTTCCTCTACTTCTCTCTTCCAGCGTTCCCACCTTGTCTCTTACATTTTTTTTTTTTCGTGCACGTCATACATATGCACACAAGCATAGTATATACCTCCTTTTTCTTCTTTACAATCCCTTCTTTCATAACTTTCAAAATTACACTCAAACCATTCACAAACATGCCAGTTAATTAAAGACCATGATTTCATTCACATGCGCGCCTCACACTTATCGCCGGTATTTAACTGTATTGTTGAGTAGAACAGAAGTAGAGTTCGTCAGAAGTACGGTGGGGGTCGAAGACGAGTTTGCAGGACAGTGATCTTCCTCTTGGTGGGCGCGCACGACGGAGGACGATCAGTTTTTGGTACGCCGTGTCTCTCTCCTCATCGTCGACTAAGGTACGGGAAGACCCAGAAACGGAGTGTCCGAGGTTTACCAAATACTTTCGTGCGTATACGTCTCGTGTAGAGTGCAAACGCGCAAGTTTATGTGAATATCGAACTTTACGCAAGATTTCCATCGCTCGAGAAAGAGTAAGTACATCGCATTGTATATATTTAGCACAATCAGATTTATATGTGAGCCCACATTGTTTTCTTCTGTTTTTATCCGTTTGATAACTTTCAAAAATACACAAGTGTCACAATGACGTTTAGTCGGTTTTTGCATATTTCACATGTTAATAATGCCTTAAAATTTCAAAGGAACATACTTGCCTTATATTTCAGATTTCCGTAACGTGAACAACGTAGCGATTGCCAACATGGCTAGTCTCATAAAACTCGTAGTCAGCAATTATAATGAAGTTCTGAAGAATGTTAAAGGTAACTCCAATAACTAAAGACTGATACAACAAAAAATCCAAATATTAAAGTCTCCTTTACGACATAAAGGAGAATATTCTATCTCATAAGCGATAACATGAACTTGCAAAATAATTAACTTGAATTAACATGCGACTCTTGTAATTATTCGAAAAATAAGTGTATCTTCTAAACATATGTGCGCGATATATAATTTGCAATTGCAAATTATGATACACTGTTGCAAATAACAGTCTGTACATTCAAAAAAATGATCTGCAATTATACAACCAAAATTATCTAGATACTTAGCTAGGATAAACAGTGACTAGCTAACATTGTGATATTGCAATGTTTTTAATCAATATTATTAATTAAATATTTGTATTTAATCAAGATAGATGACAGAGACAGAATTTCTATTTCAATTTCGACGGGTATATATACGAAAAAGGGTCTACAAAAGGGTCGTCTACATATTTACTATATATTATAAAATATCGGGATTTGCGACACTCGCGGATTAACACAATAACGATTAATTATTTCTTCAAAGAAGAAAATTTTTGCACATGGATAAACGCATATTCTACACTTTTTTTGCTGATTGTATAAAACGCCAAAAAGGAATAATTTATAGTTGAATTTCTTACAACCATTTTTCTACAAATTACATTTTTCTGTAGATCCAATGGTGGATAAGTGGCCATTAATGGGATCTCCCGGTCCAGTGTTGTGTATTGTTGGGACATACCTGATTTTTGTTCTAAAAGCCGGGCCTAAACTGATGGAGAAAAGGCCAGCCTTTCAACTAAATACTGTGTTAATATTGTACAATATGTTTCAAGTAATTTTCAGTATTTGGTTGACGGCACTGGTGAGTCTAATCTTGTTTGTACACGATATAACTATTTATTATCTTGAACTAGAAAGGTATTAGTCTCACCAAGCGTAATTCGATCTACTCGTTTTTGACATTTCGAAGAAGAATATAAAAAATGACTTTATGAATATGAACTTTGAAGATTCATAATACATGTTTAACTATTAATTATCTAAGAATGATCGCGACGGTTTAATTAAATATATATTGTATATAATTGTGTATATGTTTCGAAATCAGTGAAATAAAGTTCGCGTAAACATCATTTGATGCACGCAATATTTTGCGACGAACAGTCCGCAAGTAAAATAAAAAACGATTTCAAATAAAGTAAAAAACGATTTCAGGCACTAGAAGTCGATATTGGAGATTTGATATTCTCTCACGGTTGTAATGCGCATAATAAATCGGATCGAGTGAGCAGAACTTTACAGGAAACGGTAAGAATTTCTTTTAATTTTTACCTACACTTGTTATTATCAAAATGCAAATATTTTTTTTAATACTTTTTTCGTGCCTTTTGTTTTGGATGAATAGTTATCGCGGGGTGCATGGTGGTATTTCGTAGCGAAGATAATCGAGCTCTTGGACACGGTAAGCGACACGTAAATGTCAGTTTTAGTAAAAGACTAATAAATTAATAGTTAAATCTTTAATGTCAATGAAAATGTTCGAAGACAACAGTGATGCTCCCGTAATCTTTTAACTGATACAATTGTTTCGTCACTTAATTTACACATAGTATTGCAACCGTATAATTACGAACAATTACGAAAAATGTTTCGTTAACTCGGCCATCGGAAGTGTTTAGCAATTGCTTGTTTCAGTCTTGACCGTACTAATAAATGATTATAAAGCGGTATTAATGAATTCATATAAGTCGAACTGTCCCCTCATTCTTTTTTAACGCTCTCTTTGACGGACATTATACCAGGAATATTTCGCATCCCATAAAGTATAAAATCGCGAGTTTAATATAAGTGGCGAATTAAAATATATTTCAGAGGAATACGTATGTCTGATAAGATTGATAATGCAAACGAGAAAAGTTTCACGTAGTATATTTCTGAAATACTACAATGTCTTTCTTCACTTGTTAAAGGTATTCTTCGTTTTAAGAAAGAAGCAAAATCAAGTGACTTTCCTTCACGTCTATCATCATACCATAACGGCGGTCTTCTCGTGGTGCTACTTGAAGCTGCTACCCGGTCAACAAGGTGTCGTAGTGGGCCTCCTAAATTCTATAGTCCACATTATTATGTACAGTTATTATCTCATCGCGGCGCTTGGCTCTAAATATAGAAAGTACCTCTGGTGGAAAAAGTATATGACCTGGATTCAGCTGGTAATTATCTTACAATATATAATCGGTTAAGCTGCTGAAGTAGCAAAGCAACATGTCTATTGATTCCGAATTATCTGCTTTATACAGGGTGTCCGGAAAATCGCCCGAAATATTTCGGGACGTGATTCGGGACCCCAAAAGAAGGAAAAAAAGCTATATAAACATAAGTCCGGAAATAAGTCGTTTCCGAGTTATAGCCACTTTTATGTTTAAAAAATCGTAATTTACAGTTCGCGTGGCACCCCTTTTTAAATTTTTTTTTAATTTTATTTCTTATTTTTTTAATTTTCAAATTTTATTATTTTTTTTAATTAACAATTTTTATTTTTTAATTTTTTTTTCAATTTTTCGATATTTGTAAATACATTATTTTTTAAATCAATCATAAACATGAATAGGTATTTAAATTAAAATAGATATTTAAATCGAATTAAATCGAATTAAATAAGATGTTCAAAATGACTACCTTTAGCACGAATGCAGGCTCTTATTCTCCTATCAAAAGAATTCCAAATTCTTTGAAAAACATTTGGATCCGTCCTTATTTCTTGGAATCCACGAATTATTCTTTGTCTTAAGTCAGCAATATTATTGGGCAGTAAAAATAAAAAAAAAATTGTTTAATTATTTAAAAAAATTTCCATATTATTACGTTGCTTTAAAATTGTTAACATAAGTTCCCTCGAGTCGAAATATTAGTTTTGCATGAATCTTACAATTCTGTCGAACTTGAAAGACCAATGGGGAGTTTCAAAACATAACATTATACAAAATCCTAACATTATCCTAATTTGATGCCACAAATAATTATATTACTGTCGCTTTTGCCGTGTTGATACTACAAGAGAAGGACTTATTATAACATACTTCTTCTTGTCTATTTTTGAAAAACAACAGCCTATACAGTATCATATCTCCAGATTAGTCCTTCAAATTCAACGAAACCTGTAGATTCAATATAAAACCAACATTTTTATCTGAACATTCTGTTACATTTCAGATTCAGTTCGTAATGATGCTGAGCTACCTGACGCTAACTCTGTTCATGGACTGCCAAATGCCGAAGGCTCTAACTTATTTCTTCTTAACGAACGTAGTCATTTTCATCTACCTATTTAGTGATTTTTATCGAAAAGCGTACAAAACGAAGAAGATCTAATAATCAGAATTGATCTCGCGGAAGCAAAATGAATACGAATGAGTTTAGCAGTTTCTATTTTTGCTGAAATGTTTACGAGGAAATAAATTAATAAGGAAAACTAAACGGTCGACGACGCGGTAATTGCTCATTCGTTTTTACTATATGAAGTAATATAAAAAAACTTCTCTGATTTGTACACACTTACATACACACATTTATGTGTGTACAATAGTTTCCATTAGTTTATAGAACGCATTAGTTTATCAAATGTTTATAAAATGTTCAAACTACGTGTACATGTCACTTTTTCAAAAAAATTTTTGGCAAGTATTACTTACAAAATCTGTCATTCAGTAGTTAACGCTTCCTATATAATCGATTGTTGTGTTCATATAATTCATTAATCAATAATCGCCTTATAATTTTAATTATTTTCTTACATATAGTTATATATAGTTATATATAGTTATATGTTTAATTGCCTCTCGTGTAAAGATCATACGGAAGCTACTTTGTTTTATTTATTTATATATGTATATACTCTGGTTGTTTTAAACAAAATTACCAAAATACGATTAATACCGTAATTGTGATATGTATATTTAATTCTACTGAAATTTTCATTGTCATGCTCGAATCTTTGAATTCTTTCCGATGCGATGTTGCATCGTGCAGTTAATGCATGACGTAACATACCGGCAGCGGATTTATTGACACAAAAAAAACGAAGAGAAAAAGTTACAGCGAGAGAGGAAACAGGACAAGTGCGAAATCGAAGTCTGATTGTTCGAGGTTACATTAAAAGTGTGCCACAATTCATAAAGAAATACCCGACTGTAAGTAACGAACCAACCGTCACTCGTTAAAATCTACTAGGTCTGAATGTCGTTCTTTCTCGAAAGAAAACATCCAATCTCTCCAAGTTTTGCTAACGGTATTTACTATTTCCTAGGTTCTGTTGTGTTATACAGTCTTGTATATTCAATGGCACGTTATAAGAGCCTCAGTATTTAGTCGGGAAAGAATAAACATCTTTAGTTCTAGAATTATTGCTCTCTTCACCAGTCAACGATTTAATAAAAATAAAACAGAGTGTTTGAGGTTCTTTCCTCGACATTCAACAAACGATTCGTTATCCTCGTAGCAAGATTGATCAGAATAACGCGAAATCTTTCCCGACAATAAACCAAATATTAATTGGTGATGACAATCTTACTATTTGTGTTCCATATTCTAATTAAAAATCTGTCATGCTGCAATTAAATAAATGGACGACGCACAAATGCATAATATATTAACTATACCTAAGATATATACTATTATTTATTAATAAGTAATCTAAATAAATCAAAGTTGCAAATATCTGATCTTGAGTCAGCTTTCGTTAGTTGCATATTCCGCAAGTTAATAATGCCTAAAAATTTCGAAAGAACATTCTTGTCTTATATTTCAGATTTTCGTAACTTAAACGCTGTAGAGATCGCCAAAATAGCTAATCTCATAAAACTTATAGTCAGCAATTGTAACGAAGTTCTGAAGAGAATTAAAGATAACTCCAATAACATTACAAAAAAAAGAGAATATCCTTTTTCATGAGCAATATTACGAAATTTACTTTGCAAAGTAATTAACTAAAATAATGGGAGAATTCCTTAATTATTCGAAAGATAAGACATATATCTCCTATAAACACGTGCACGATATGCAATTTGGCATTGCAGATTATGATACATTATCGCGAATAACCAGTAACAGCCTGCATAAACAAAATAGTGGCCGTGTCATAGCCAATTATAGCCAAATTCGACTCGGAATAGCATGTATCTTTTCACGGTCATCTTTACAAAATTTTTCACTGTTTTTTCTTCAACATATTTTTGTACTTCTCTCTCTCTCTCTCTCTCTCTCTCTCTCTCTCTCTCTCTCTCTCTCTCTCATCGTATCCACCTTGCCACCTACTAGATACGAAAAAAACTACAAAACGAAAAATACATGTTAACTTAATCAAAATATAGATGTTTTAAATTAATTATAATAAAAAACGAAGTAAGATTAATATAATTAACCAAGCACGTATGTGTAAGTACTTATTACAAATAATTATGTGATAAGTATCAATAATATTAATAATTGAACGTTGAAATATCGAAGCATCAAATCGAGAAAAACTTAACATCGAGGATTGATTAACATCTCCTTATTGATTATAAGAAGATTTATTGAGAAATACGAAACACGTTTATCGAGAATCAAGTGATGCCAAGAGTAAGACCAACGATCGAAAAGGTGAATAATTAATATATTATTAGTACGTACATTATTAGTGATATACACTTTTATTCTACAACAAATTACACACGTATATTGTATAATACATACGATTGAGATTACAAGATTATCTATCCATTCGTAACTGCGAAGTCCGCTCGATCGATCGCAATAAGATAAAATTGTGACTGTTCGATAACAAATCGTCTGGAAATCTGTCTAAAGTTCATGGGACAAAAGGCAGTGCAACTGAGGCTTTATTTACATTAAAAACTCTGTTTTTGTATCTGTTAAGTACACAGAGCGTAACAAATCTTAAAAGCTACGTGTGTCTTATTGTCCTATTTTAGTGTAAAATTAAATGGAAAAAGATATAGAAAAAAGTAGAAGAAAAAGAGAAGAAAATAAAAAATAAGAAGGAAGGAGAAATCACACACGATACTACCACGAAATACATCTGGTAATTGGCGCATAGATGCCAACTTAAAGCCATATTCTTTGGAGGTAATTAATCTAATCAAAATTTAGAGGATATCCAGCACCAGAAAAAAGCAAACACACGTCGGTCGAGCTAAGAAAGGTCAAATCACAAACGAAACGCGAATGCTAATCGAATGCTAAAAAGCGCGTATGCGAAAGATAGCTCTTAATTTTCTAATAACTGAATTCTCTCTTTCTCTCTCTCTCTGTCTCTCAAACAAATTATGTTTGATTAATTGACGAAGTTAAAATTTCTAATGATCGTCGTTAGTATCACGTGCTTATATAGTTACTGTAGTATATCGTTTCGTTTGAAACTGTCATTAATTATCTCTTCTCTCTAGCGATATCTACGATTATTTGACGTGAAATTTGATTATTGACTCATCACGAACACATTTGACGTATAATTCGTTATTAAAAATCGACGTAATCTCTTGAAGCCGCTCTTTCTGGATACATTTTGACGCTCTTGTAGTAAACAATGTATAAACAGAACATGTTTTTTGATTAATTATTATCAATCATAGACTTCGAACAATTCTTGCACGCGCACAATGTTTAATAAATGGCGCGCTGATAAAACACGTCGATATCGAAAATCACAAAGAAAGATCGCGAAATAAAAAAAGAGATTTTACACACGCTCGCTCTCTCTCTCTCTCTCTCTCTCTCTCTCTCTCTCTCTCTCTCTCTCTCTCTCTCTCT